TAGAGACCTTCAGACTTGGCTAAAATTATCAAAATCCGTTTTGTAGTGTTTATATAGCTGTTGTGGAGGATATCATGAAGCCTTGTTCCGATACAAAAACAACCAGAGCGTGGTTATTATATAACTTTAACTTGAAACGGGTCACAGGAGACCCGAACACAACATAAGGGTTAAGTCAAAAGTACCCATAACTACCAGCTGTTTTAAAGAGTACCTGACCTCCCTTTATATTAATAGAACAATAATGTCATTGTTAGCTAATGAATGTTTCCATGCTGAACAACGGCAACATGACAACGTTTTCATTGGTCCCTCTTCTTTAGAGAAGACCAGGAAATGATGGATACACGGATCGTGTTCAAATCAATAGGCACGCAATGACTCTAAATAATAATGATCACGCCACCAAACACACATTCAGACTAAAGGAACCAGCCTGTTGGGAAATGTAAGAAGTAGAAAGTACAGGTGTTTGTGTTCAACATGTAAGAAGTAGAAAGTACAGGTATTTGTGTTCAAAATGTAAGAAGTAGAAAGTACAGGTATTTGAGTTCAACATGTAAGAAGTAGAAAGTTCAGGTATTTGTGTTCAACATGTAGGAAGTAAAAGTAAAAAGTCGTCAGAAAAATAAGTAGTGGAGTAAAGTACTGATACCAGAAAAATGTACTTAAGTACAGTAACAAAGTATTTGTACTCCACTGCTTCCCACCTCTGCAGTTTGGTTATTAAGAAATATACAGTCATGGTTACGTTGCAAATGTTCTGTTTCTGCTGTTTCTTTGTCTTTTAGGGTGAATTCTACAACATCGGGAAGCATCAGGAGCCTCCCTTTTCCCCCGCAGTCTTTTCCCTGCCGCCCCAGATCAACAACATGTTGTACATCGGCGTTTCCTCCTTCACCTTCGAATCTGCGGCCTTCGTCTACAACACAGCTGGAGCCCTCAGCCTGGACATCACTGACGACATGGTGAGCTGAATCCTCCTGGTTCACTCATCAACTTTCTTACATGACGTCACAATGCTATTCAACCTTTCTGACTCTCAACAGATCCCAAAAATCTCTCCCGTCCGACTCAACACCCGAACGTTTGGAGTTTTCATCCCGCAGGTGAAAACAGATTCTACTCATTTGATACAAAGCATTGTCTTTGTAGATTGGTGCAGGGATGACGTATTTTTATAGGCCGAAGCAGAAGTTAGAATTATAATGGGATTTTTTCCATTGGATTTGAGTATATTGCAGAAAATAGTATTTGTGGCAAACTCACGTTTATGATTCTTACATGTTCTGTTCAACAGGATAATCTCCACATATTAACACCACATTTATGATTTTTGAAGCATAATTATAATCACTGGAAGTAAAAAACGAACTTCAGGCTAAATACAAAATTGGCTGCGCATCACCACCGCTAAGCTAAAGGCGCACTTACGTTTATTGCTTATTTAGACACTTGTTAGCATCTACCGTTGTATGTCTCATAGAAGCTTTGGACATTCATGAGTGGGGTTTTTGCTGACGTAATTTGTCAAAGAATAAAACGTAAACATATCCTCAGCTTGAGTTAACCACAGACCTTATTTCAGGCAAGACGAGGAAACTAGAAGTGGTCGAATGCTTAAGGACTCATTTCTGCACCAGTTTATTAGTGTTTTTTTCAGCTATATATCTTCTTTTTCAGATTGCCAAGCGTTTCCCAGGTCTGATGATGAAACTTCTGGTGAAGATGTCAAAAGCTCCAGTCATCACGTTTGAACCCAACAACGCGACAGTTCAGAGCTTTGCCTCGATGACAGCTTACGCTATCCAACCCAACGCCGCACTTACGCCTCTCTTTGTCCTGAACTTGGTAGGTTACACAGCTGGTGTGATAAATAAAAAGCCATTTGTTTGGTTCTACGTTGGGAACTGTCTCACTATATTGTCTTTACAGGTCTCCAGTGTCAGCGCCCGAGTGTTTGTCAGTGGAATGAGGTTGGCCGGAGCCGTCACCCTAAACAAGTGAGTAACTAAAAACAAAAAAAAGGGGCCAAAAGGTCTTTGTGAAGACGAGCATAACAGTTTAATTTGCCTCATTTGCACAGAATGGATCTGACCCTGGGGACGAGCGATGTCGGAGACTTTCATGTGAGAACTCATTCTAACACAAGTCACATTGTGCACATTCAGTACCAACATAACTAACGAACCCTAACCCTAACCTGCAGGTCAGTACCCTCAACAGCATCTTCCAAACGGTCCTCAATTTCGTGGTGATACCTAGAATGAATGGTGAGTACTCTTTATGAACTACTAAGACCCGCCTTGATGAGAGGACTGATGGATTGAAATGTGAATGCAACAAACTGTGACACTGTTTTGCTCTTTGAATTGTAATATTGTCCACTGTACTGCAGGTTAAGTCCTCAAAAACAAAATTAAAATGCCATTTTCATTTAAAAATCGACAGAAAATTGCATTTTATTTTAAATTGTGACTTAAATAGTTATTTCAGGAATAGTAAAAAAATACTGACATTTATAATAAACTCAATTATAAATATTTAAAAAACACAAATATAGGTAAAATGTAGAGTGGAGTAACATTTCATTTTCTATTTTACATTACAGGCCCCTCTGGTATTCTATTAAAGACAGAAAGGCACACTTTGTTGCCCATTTAAAATGTTTATCTATTATTCATATTTATTTAATCGTGTTGCATATTGCTAGTGTGTATTTTTATCTTTTTATTTTCATATAAATTATATTGAACCAGTTTTAAAGTCATAACTTATCCCCTTTTTTCAGTTACATCTTTATGTGTTGCATTTTCCTTTTTTAAGCAATTCAATCTGCATTTAATGAA